TCCTGAGTAGCTGGGATTACAGGCACGCGCCACCATGCCCAGCTAATTTTTTGTATTTTTAGTAGAGACGGGGTTTCACCATGTTGACCAGGATGGTCTCGATCTAAGGTGCAGTCAGAATTCTCGCCACTGGGCACCCACTTAGTTGATGCAGCAGATGCCTGTGGGCCGGCCCTGGAGGGGATGGAGTGGGAGCAGCCAGGCGTTCTGCTGGGTTCCCCCCTCTGCTGAGTTAATCAGGGCAAAACAATAGAGATGGCATCTCAGGTAGAGTGACCAGAAGGAGTGAAGGTAAGGAGGCATGAACAATGCATATTTGGGGAGGGACAAACGCCAAGTCCCCCTGGCTTTAGGACTGGGGTCCCCAAGGTCCATGCAGGGGCCCGAGCCCTGGGCTTGCTGCCCCCGGAGGCACTCACCATATTTGGCTGCCTTAGCGGCGGCGGCTGCGGCAGCTGCGGCTGCAGCTGGGGCCCCAGCGCCTGAAAAGACAGCCACAAAGGGTGAAGTCCTTGCCCTGTGGCCATCTCAAGGACACACCCACCCCCTGCTGGGTCAGACATTACCTGCGATGCCTCCAATCCCAGGAATTGCACCAGCTGCCCCAGGAACGCCGCCCACTCCAATGCCAGGGAGAACTCCTGCTCCGGCACCTGTTGAGATGGGGCAGTGCAATGTAGTTTCCCAAGGACCCTCCTGAGGACAGGAAGGAAGGCCACTTAAACACCAGCATGTTCGCCAGCGTGATCTCATCCAGGAATGGGGCCCGGGTGTCTCCAGATGGACCTGTTTGAGGAGGTCCCCACCCCACTCCGCTGTTCCTTGACTCACCCCCAAAGTGTCTGTTTCAACACGCTCATTAAGGGACTTGTATGTTTTCAGACAAATCCCATTCTAATCACTGCCACATACTGAGAAACCACAAGTGGCCGCTCCCTGGGCCAGAGGGGCCCCTGCAGGAATGTTCAAGACTTCCTCTCCCTGTGTTCCGAAGACGCAGCCAAGTTTGTAATCCAAGCGCCTGGCCGCTTGGCTCTGGCAGCCCCTTGCAGCCCCACTCTCCCGCTCCCACATTCCAGCCGGCCCCACCAGCGCTGGGGCCAAGGAGCCTTGGGTGCTGGGAGGGGGGCCTGTGGGGCCTCTGAGGGGGCAGCTCCAGGCTTCTCCCCACATTCTCGCTCCTCGGGCGGGTAGGGAGATAAGGAAAGGGCTTCCCTGGGGCTGAGGATGAAGGAGGACTTTAACGCTAGTGATCTGACCCTGAGCTGGGGACTACCTAGGGTGGGGAACAGATGCCCACTGACCCACTGCATGGGTACAGGAATACGATGTTCCATCTGCAGCCATACTATCCAAGAGCTCACTGGCTTGAGCAGTGCGTTGACATTTTTATAGTACACATTAAATTAATACATAACTATTAAATGTTTTAAATGCTCATATATGCACCACCTAAAATGATCTTTCCAACCACCATGGTACCCATTCCCTCTGCTTGGCCTCCTCTTTCCTGTTCTAACCACATGGTAAGCTCCATCTTTATTTTTAAGGCCTGAATCAAATGTCACTTTCTCTGGGAAGCCTTTCTAACTTTCCCAAGGTAGAAAGAATGCCTCCCGTTATGAATGAATGGATGCATGGAGGAATGGATGGATGGGTGCATGAATGCATGGTGGAATGGATGTATAGATGGATGGTTGGATGGAGGAATGAACAGATGGGTGGAGGATGGATGGATCACGGGGAAATGGATGGATGGGTGGATGGGAGATGGAAGAATGGAGGAATGGATGGATGGATAGAAGAATGGATGGAGGGAGGGATGGATGGGTGCATGGATGCAAGGAGGAATGGATGGATGGATGGATGGTTGGATGAAGGAATGAATGGATGGATGGAAGGATGGATGGATCATGGAGAAATGGATGGATGGGAGGATGAATAGATGGAAGAATGGAGGAATGGATGGATAGATGGATGGTTGGATGGAGGAATGAATAGATGGATGGAGGATGGATGGATCATGGAGAAATGGATGAATGGGTGGATGGACAGATGGACAAATGGAGGAATGGATGGATGAGTAGATGGATGGATACAAGAATGGATGGAGGGAGGGATGGATGGATACATGGATGCATGGAAGAATGACTGGATGGAGGGAGGGAGGAATGAATGGATGGAAGGATGGATGCATTGTGGAGGAATGGATGGATGGGTGCATGGAGGAATGGATGGAGGGATAGGTGGACACATGGAGGAATGGATGGATGGAGGCATGGACGAATGGGCAGATGGATGGATGGATGGAAGAATCGATGGAGGGATGGTGTGACGGATAGATAGATGAGTGGATGGATGGATAAAGGAATGGATGGAGGGATAGGTGGACACATGGAGGAATGGATGGATGGAGGCATGGACGAATGGGCAGATGGATGGATGGATGGAAGAATCGATGGAGGGATGGTGTGACGGATAGATAGATGAGTGGATGGATGGATAAAGGAATGGATGGAGGGATAGATGGATGCATGAAGGAATGGACAGTTGGATGAATGGATGCATGGAGGAATAGACAGATAGATGGTGGATGGATGGATGAATGGAGGGAGGGAATGATAGATAGATAAATGGATGGATGGATGGGTGGATGGGTAGATGGATGCATGGAGGAATGGATGGATGAGTGGATGGATGGATGGAAGAATGGATGGTGGGGGGGATTGATGGATGGATAAATGAATGGATGAGTGGATGGATGGATAGATGAATGGAGGAATGGATGGATGGATGGGTGGATAGATGAATGGAGGGAAGGAGTGATAGATGGGTGGATGAGTGGATAGATGGATAAATAGATGGATGGATTGTGGACAGATGGAATGATGGATGGATGCATGGAAAAATGGATGGATGGATGGATGAGGGGATGGATGGATGGATGGATGGGTAGGTGAGTAGATGAATGAATGGATGAATGGATGGATGAGTGGATGGATGGATGCATGGATGGGTAGATGAGTAGATGAATGAATGGATGAATGGATGGATAGATGGATGCATGGAGGAATGAATGGAGGGAAGGAGGGATGAATGAATGAATGGATGAGTGGATGGATGAATGGAGGGATGGAGGTTGAGATGGATGGATGAATGAGTAGATGGATGAGTGGATGAGTGGATGCATGGATGGGTAGATGAATGAATGGATGAGTGGATGGATGGATAGATGGACGCATGGAGAAATGAATGGAGGGATGGATGGATGAATGGATGAATGAATGGATGGATAGAGGGAGAGATGGATAGATGAATGAATGGATGGATGACTGGACGGATGGATGCATGGATGGGTAGATGAAAAGATGAATGAATGGATGAGTGGATGGATGGATAGATGGATGCATGGAAGAATGGAAATGGAAAGAGGGAGGGATGGATGGATGAAAGGATATCTGGATGAGTAGATGGATGGATAGACAGATGCATAGAGGAATGGATGGAGGAGGGAGGGATGGAGAAAGCAATAGATGGATGGAAAGATGAATGGATGCATGAAAGAATGGATGGAGGGAGGAATATATAGATGGGTGATGTTGAAAATCTTGAGTAGATGGGGGAAGTAGGGGCACTTTTGTCATTCATCTGTGAGGCAGGCTCTCAACAGTAATGGGAATGGAGAGGCTGGGGGGCTGGAGGTCACCAGACGGGGACCCCAGGGGCACTCACCAAACTTTGCTGCCTTAGCTGCTGCCGCTGCTGCTGCCTGAGGGCCAACCCCTGGGGGAGGGGAGCAGAGGGGAGAGACCCTGAAACAGTGCTCCTGTATCTCCAGAGCCCACTTGTTCCCAGCCTGGAGAGAACCACTCCACTGACATAGGGGTGTGAGTGGGGCTCACAGCAGGCAGAGGCGACGGAGCTGCCCCACCCCTCCCCCAGGATCCTGTTCCAGGTTCGGACCAGGTTCTGGATGCAGGGTGGGCTGGCCTGCTTTTGGAGAGAACCTCGCCTGTCCCAGGGCTCTGGAGCCTGCAAGATCAGGGTTCCCTCAGCTGGAAGTGAGGGGAGGCTTTCGTTACCTGTCCCTGTTGGGTAACCAGCCTTGCCCGCTGCACCAGCCACTCCGCCAGGCCCATAGCCTGCAAAACAGAGAGGCTCGGTGGTCATCTGTGCAGACGTCACCGCTGCTGCCCTCCCCCTCTCCCTGCCCTGCCCTCGAGGCCCCGGCTGTCTTGAGTCTGCACCCTGTCACCCCCAGCCAGAGTGAAAACAAATACAAACACCCGTATGGAATTGTTCCGCCCATTTTACAGATGAGGACACAGAGGCTCAAAGAAGCAATGCAGCTCATCTAAGGTCTCACTATTGGTAGGTGGGAGGGCAGGGATGCAGACCCATGCTGAGGCCAAATTCCATGCCTTTTCCTTCTGAGACTCCCACTCCGAGCCCCTAACCCTCCCCCAGCAAGGTGCTCTCCTGGCCCAGGGATGGGGGCATAGCACCTTTGCTAGAATCCTGGAGTGGGAACGGGCTGGATAGGCCCCAGTCTAGAAGGGTCTCACTCACCAAAGGGCAGTTTCCCGGTGCTGTAGGGAAGTCCATAGCCACCTGGGGAGAGGACATGCAGACTCAGGAGTTGCCCCATGCCTTGCTGGGCTCCCACCAAGCTGGGCGGACAGATCTGCCCCCACAGGTGCTGAGGCCTGAGACCCCCTGCCCCCAGACCAGGATCCTGAGCTGCTCCCAGGACAGCAGAGGCGTTGGGTGGAGGAGGGAGAGGACACTTCTGCCGCTGGGCCCAATGGAACACCCATTCCCCTACAAATTCAAGCCCCACCATGGCCCTGGAGTCTGAGTATTTTCCTGATGCCCCTCAGTGGAAAGCATATCACTGGCTAAGCTGATTGCGGAGGTAGGGGTGGAAGCATGGGTGGGTGGATGTCAGAGGGACCTTTCCAGTGAACGGCGTTCCCTTCCATCAGCACAATGGCTTCTGATCGGGACTATGGGTCTCCGTGCATGAGCGTGCGTGTGTGAGTTCGATACCTGCAGATGACTTCCCATGCTCTCCTTGGCTGGGGACCATACGGGGGCTTCAATACCCCTCCCCTGCCACCAGAGACGCCTGCACCCAGGCTGACTTCTCTGCAGGGAGGCTCAGTGAATGGTGCATTATTTGTTTTTATTATTTTTTTTAGAGACAGAGTCTCACTCTGTCACCCAAGCTGGGGTGCAGTGGCATGATCTTGGCTCACTGCAACCTCTGCCTCCCGGAGTCAAGTGATTCTCCCACTTCCGCCTCTCCAGTAGCTGGGATTACAGGCCTGTGCCACCACGCCTGGCTAATTTTTGTATTTTTAGTAGAGACGGGGTTTCACCATGTTGGCCAGGATGGTCTCGATCTCTTGACCTCGTGATCCACCCGCCTCAGCCTCCCAAAGTGCTGGGATTACAGGCTTGAGCCACCGCGCCCAGCCAGATTTTTTGTATTTTTAGTAGGGACGGGGTTTCGTCATGTTGGCCAGGCTGGTCTCGAACCCCTGACCTCAACTGATCCTCCCACCTCGGCCTCCCAGAGTGCTGGGACTACAGGCATGAGCCACGGCGCCTGGCCGAGTGGTGCATTTTGAACCATCCCTCTGACTTACCGGGCAGCTTGGGGGCCTTGATGGGGTACCCCAGTGGGACTCCAGGTTGTTGTCCCGCAAAGGGTCCAACTCCTGTGGGAATAAAGAGAGCCAGTTCAGGTCCCGGCAGCCCCTTCCAAACCCTCCGCCACCCGCTCCACTTTCTGCTCAGACAGAAGGAACTTGCTACAGCTGCAGAAGCCATCCTGTCTCCAGGGCCTCCCTGAATCTCCATCATGGGTCAGCTGAGAAATTCCCAGCGATAAGCTACTTCCTCCAGGAAGCTGCGGGATTCTCTCCCTCCTGGGGTAGATGAAGGGAAAGCTGGATGAATGGATGCATGGAGGAATAGATGGGTAGATGGTGGATGGATGGATGAATGGATGGATGAGTGAATGGATGGATGAGCGGACGGATGGATGCATGGATGGGTAGATGAGCAGATGAATGGATGTATGAGTGGACGGATGGATAGATGGATGCATAAAGGAATGGATGGAAGGAGGGAGGGATGGGTCCCAGTTCCGGCCTGCAGTTTGGGCCTGCAGCCCTTGGCACAGGCTGGCGGGTTTTCTGGGCTTCTTTGGGCTGCTGTGCTGGCGGGGGAAGCAGGCCTGGGACGGGTGCCACTTTGTGCTACATCCACTGCAAGGCCCGGCACAGCAGGCATGGGGGAAATCAGGCAGGCTCGGATGGGATCTTGGGTGCCCAAGATTTTGTATTATTGGTAGAGACAGGGCTTCACCATGTTGGTCAGGCTGACCTCTGGTGGTCTGCCCACCTCCCAAGGGCTCTCCCCTCCCAAGGCAAGAGCCCCTGCCTGGCTGGCCGCCCTGCTTCTCCCACCAGCCTTGCCTTACCTGGGATTCCAGCAAAAGCTCCAGCTCCAACTGTAATGATAAAAGAGCTGTCACTGCAGCCCCGGCACTGTGGACACCAGGCCAGACAGCACGGAGGGGCCAGGAGGCCCAAGGGATGGCCAGTTCCCCCCAGCCCAGTTGTCCCATGCTGCCCTCACATGCATTCTGGGATTTCTTTTTTCAGAGATGGAGTTTCTCTCTTGTCTCCCAGGCTGGAGTGCAGTGGCGTGATCTCAGCTCACTGCAACCTCCACCTCCAAGGTTCTAGCGATTCTCCTGCCTCAGACTCCCAAGTAGCTGGATTACAGGCACATGCCGCCATGCCCAGCTAATTTTTGTATTATTAGTAGAGACAGGGCTTCATGTTGGTCAGGCTGACCTCAGGTGATCTGCCCGCCTTGGCCTCACAAAGTGCTGGGATTACAGGCGTGAGCCACTGCATCTGGCCTTTTCCTTTTTTGTGGCGGGACAGGGTCTCTCTCTGTTGCCCAAGCTGGAGTGCAGTAGTGAGATCACAGCTTCCAACAACCTTGACCTCCCTGGCTCAAGAGATCCTCCTGTCTCAGCCTCCTGAGTAGTTGGGACCACAGGTCTGTGTGACTACGTCTGGGTAACTTTTTAATCGTGTTTTTGTAAAGATAAGGTCTTGCTATGTTGCCCAGGCTGGTCTTGAACTCCTGGGCTCAAGCGATCCTCCCAGCTCACCCTCCCCAAACACTGGGATTACAGGTGTGAGTCAGTGCACCCAGCCATACTCTGGGGTTTCTCAGGAACATAAAAGGTGTCACCCAGAGGGCCCTGAGCCAGTCCAGGATCCCACCGCATTTCACACCCCGGGCCAGAAGGTGGTTGGAGAGTCCCCACCATCAGCCCTCTGCCCAGACACCTGCATACCTGGAGCCTTGGGCTTGACTCCTGCTCCAGTAGGAACACCAGGGAGCACTCCCACACCGGGGAACCGAACTCCTGCCGGGGAACAAAGCGGTGAGCACAGAAAGGCAGGTCTTGCAGGCCCTGCCAGGAACCCCTCCCCTCCTTGGGTCCCCTAGCTGACCTCCCTCAGGACCCACTGTCAGTGACAGGCACGGCTCTGGGGGGCGGGTGGAGAAAGGATCTGTTTAGCGCTGACTTTCCTCCCCTGTCTGGCTCAAGGTCAGAAGATCTGAATGTTAATCCTATTTCCCAGCCATGTGAGCTCGTGCCTCAGTCAGCCTCATCTCTACGCGGAGTTAATCACAAAAGCCGTCGCGACCACCCTCTGCAGAAAAGGCAAAGCTGCCGTGCAGCACCACGCATCCGAAGACCAAGGAAGCCTGTGCTCTCTGGGGCTCTCGCCCACAACCCATGCCCCCAGAGCAGACATCCGGCTACAGCTGGGACCCATGCCAGCGTCTCCCACCTCTCCCGTCTCCCCTGGGGCTGGGCAGCCTTGGCTCTCGGTGTAGCAGGGGAGAGAGGGAGGAAGGGCCACTCTGTCAGCAAATCCCACAGAAGAGCCTAAATCTGGGCTTTTGGGGGAATTCAGGAGATCACATGTTGGGTGGGGTGGTCAGGCCCTGGTGGGGAAGGAGGGTGAGGGGCAGCTCTTCAGGGTCTCCTGCAGGGCAGACTCACTGGGTGGCCCCCTGGTGACTCACAGCTTTTGGGAAGCAGCGGGTCACACTGGGGTCTGTCCTCGGGGGCCCGCCTAGGGCTGTGATGATGGTCTGAGCCTGGGATCAGGGTTTGGGTGGGGCACAGGAAGCCTGTTGACCTTTGGGGGATGGAGGGACTGCCAGGGGACCTTATGTCTGTTAAGCCCTAGCGTTGGTGTCTGGGGAAATGGCCCAGGTCAGGACCCAGGTGTTCTGGTGGCCTCTGCTTTTCGGGGAGGCAGCGGGGGTACTAGGGAGGCTGATGGAGGCTGCTTTTCTTTTTTTCTTTTGAGACTGAACTCTCACTCTTGTTGCCCAGGCTGGAGTGCAATGGCGCGATCTCAGCTCACTGCAACCTCCGCCTCCCGGGTTCAAGCTATTCTCCTGCCTCAGCCTTCCGAGTAGCTGGGACTACAGGCCTGCGCCACCACGCCCGGCCAATTTTTGTGTTTTTAGTAGAGACGGGGTTTCTCCATGTTGGTCAGGCTGGTCTCGAACTCTTGACCTCAGGCGATCTGCCCGCCTTTGCCTCCCAAAGTGCTGGGATTATAGGCTTGAGCCACTGCGCCCGGCCTTCTTTTTCTTATTTTGAGACAGGGTCTTGCTCTGTCCCCCAGGCTGCAGTGCAGTGGCACCATCATAGCTGACTGCAGCCTGGGCCTCCTGGGCTCAAACAATCCTCCCGCCTCAGCCTCCCGAGTAGCTGGAACTACAGGTGCATGCCACCACGCCTGGCTGATTTTTTTTTTTTTTGTAGAGACAGGGTCTTACTCTGTTGCCCAGGCTGGTCTCAAACTCCTGGCTTCAAGCCATCCTCCCACCTCAGTCTCCCAAAGTAATGGGATTACAGGTGTGAGCCACCGTGTCCAGGCTGCTTTCTTCCTATAGAGTCCCTGCTTCCCTCCTTGCCCTCACCTGTGCCTGGGAGCACGCCACCTGGGTATACACCTGGCAGCCCCACACCTGTGCCCAAAAGAAAGCAAAGTCAGGAGCAGCAGCTCAGCCTCCAGGGACCCCCCCTCCCGGCCTTTCCCACCCAGGCAGCTCCAGGGCTCTCAAACCAACAGCCCCTGTGCCCGACAGGGGCAGCCAGGGACAGGCGTGGGGTGGCCACCACCCTCCTCCCACAAGTTTCGGAAGTCATCTGCAAACTCTTCGGTGTGTGGATTTATCTCCATCTCCTGGAGCCTATTTACATGGCTGGGCCAGCCCACCTCTGGCTAACAGCTTCCAGATGTCCCTCCCTGCTGTGTGGACTCAACCAGCCTTTTGTTCAACCTGAAGTCACTTCCTAAAGGGCTTGGTGAGGCACACCGAGTACCAGATGGGGAGTCAGAGGACACGGGGCTCCCCTAGCTCTGCTGGGACTCCCTGCAAGCCCTTCCACACTGATTCGCCCTTTGAGCCTCAGTTTCCCCCTCTGTTGCCTGTCGAGACAGCCTGCCACAGAGCCTGTCTCTTTCTACCCTAAGATACTGGGAGAAGGGCCTGGGAAGTAGGCCAGGCCCCTCCTCTCCGTTTCACAGACGCAGGCATCATACTTTGGGCCTGGTTATTTTCTCTGCCCGGCTGGAGCCCGCCCTGCCCTTCCTCCCCAAGCGGAGTGGCGTGGAGAGGGCTCTGCTCCTCCCTGCCCTCTGTCCTCCAGCCCCAGGGATTCTGCACTGACCTGGCACTTTTCCCGGCTTCACTCCAGCTCCAGGCTGAGGAACCACTGCACCTGGCACAGACGGGGATGCGTGAGAGTGGGCTCCACCCAGGCCTGCCACCCTGACCCCGGGAGCTCGGGGATAGCCGCTGTACCTGTAGACACTCCTAAGCCACCAACACCTGGGACGCCACCAACTCCTGGGACGCCACCAACTCCTGGGACAACACCAAGCCCGGCGCCTGCAGAGCCAGGACAGGTGGGGCATTGCACGAGGAACAGTGGGGAGGCAGAAGGGCCCAGCATTGAGGTCTGGCCCCGTTGCCAACTCACTTGTGGACAGGGCACAGCTAGCTGCCCCCCTGAGCCCCAGTAGGTTGGAGCTGACAATCCCACCCAACCGGCTCCCAGGCCTGGGTTGAGGGAAGGCTCTTTGCAAAGCAGAAGGCCCCATGGAAGCCAGAGGGCTTGTGGCATGTCCCAAGGAGCACCACTCACCAGCCTTGGCAGCTTTATAGGCTGCAGCAGCACCAGCCGCTCCACCAGGCACCAGAGCCCCCGGAAAGGTCCCTGCAGGGAAGGTACCGAGCCCTGTGGAGGGGAGGATGGGATGAGGTCCTGAGCTACCACACCCATAGACTCCTATGCTCTGGCCCCACCTGGCCGTGCCCCGCTCAGGAAGCACGTTGGAGGCTCTTCCGCTCTCGGCCAGACATCAACGCCTGCAGGACATCGATGTGACCACTGCTCACCAGGACTGCGTTTTTTTTTTTTTTGAGACAGAGTCTCACTCTGTCACCGAGGCTGGTGTGCAGTGCTGTGACCTCGGCTCACTGTAGCCTTGACCTCCCAGGCTTAAGCAACCTTCCCATCTCAGCCTTCTGAGTAGCTGGGACTACAGTTGCATGACATTGTGCCTGCCTAATTTTTTCTTTTTTTTTGTATTTTTTGCAGTGACAGGGCTTCACCATGTTGCCCAAGCTGGTCTTGAACTCCCAGGCTCAAGCGATCTGCCCATCACGGCCTCCCAAAGTGCTAGGATTACAGGCATGGGCCACTGAACCCAAGCATCAGGACTAGATTCTGTGCTGAGGTTAATGTGTCAGATAGCTCTAACAAACCTGCATGGGTCTTTTTTTTTGTTTGCCTTTAGAGATGGGGTCTTGTGGCCAGGCACAGTGGCTCATGCCTGTAATCCCAGTGCTTTGGGAGGCCGAGGTGAGCAGATCACTTGAGGCCAGGAGTTTGAGACCAGCCTGGTCAACATGGTGAAACCCCATCTCTATTAAAAATACAAAAATTAGCTGAGGGTGGTGGCATGTGCCCATAATTCCAGCTATTTGGGAGGCTGAGGCAAGAGAATCACTTGAACGTGGGAGGTGGAGGTTGCGACAGTTGAGATCAAACCACTGCACTCCAGCCTGGGCGACAGAGTGGGACCCTGTCTCAGCAATAGCAACAAAACAGATGGAGTCTTGCTCTGTCACCCAGGCTGGAGTGCAGTGATGTGATCACAGCTCCCCGAAGCCTCAACCTCCTGGGCTCAAGCGATCCTCTCTCTTCAGCCTTCCTGAAAACTGCATGGATCTTTTGGGGTTCAGTTTCCCCACTCGCCTCCCCTAGGATGCCTTCCTGAACCCCTGCTGAGTTAAGCGACTCCTCTGGGCTCCCTCTGTTCATGGGGCTTCCTCCGTTCATGGGGCTTCCTCCATACAGCCTTCACCACTAAATTATAAATGACCCCAGGTACGCAGCTGTGATTTCCTCACATCCTGGGCAGATGCTTGGGGCAGGCGGCATCAGCATCAGTCCCCATCAGTGCCCAGGATGGAACCTGGCCTGTACCCCTGTCCACTGACTGTGTTCCATACCAGCCCTGGGTTGAGCTCAGGGGCTGGTCCGAGCAAGGGGCATCTTGCCTGGGTGTCGGCACTCACCTGCCCCGGGGCCAACACCTGCGAGCCCTCCAGGACCCGTGGAAAGGAAAGAAAGACAGGATTGAAGGCAGCATTCCGAGGCCCAGAGTGGGAAGGGTCTGATGGAGTTAGGACAGTGCTGTGGTCAGCCACTTGGGTCCCTAGGCTGGTCCCTGAGCCTGTGGCGCTCAGGGGCGATCCTGATAAAATAGTGTAGTGAGCAGCTACTGTGTGCAGTGCAGGCGTGATTGCACCGACCCCTAACAAACCTGGGCCGGGCCTGTGCCTCTCCTAGAAGTCCTGCTGGCTAGCAGGATTCCACAGGGCTTTCTGCAAGGGCCGGGGCTGAGCAGAGTCCATGAGTGAGGCCTTACTCCCCTTCACCTGCATCGGGGAGCTCCCGTGTCCCCACCATCCGCCTGTCCTTCCATCCAGCCTGCCTTGCAGCTCAGGATTCTCCTTGATCGGATGTTTACGAGACACCAAATGGGTCCCTCTGGGCCCAATCGCTTCATCTCCCGCTGCGGGAGACATTCCACTGGCCTGGGCCAGGACCAATGGGCCATCAGGTTGGAGTTCACAACCATACCGGGTTTGCTTCTAATTATGTGAGGATCTCTCCTACAAGTGCCAGTCCTGAGCCCCAGGGACAAGTCCTCTCCAGGGACGGATCCCAAACCTGGAGCTTGCTGTGCTACGCCATGGAGAAGTGCCCCTCTGGCTTTCCCTGGGTGTGGTCTCCGTTACTAACCACTCCTCGTTCCCATTTCCTGCTAGTGGGAACTGGACCTCTCTGAGACTCAGCCAGCCTCATGTAAGACATGTCTGCCCCTGGGCGGGAGCGCCTGGCGATCAGGCAGGACTCAGTTCCCAGCACCCGGGCCCTGCCCCACCAGCTTTGGCAGCTGCTTCTTTCAAGCCAGGCCTCTTTCCTGAGCTCAGAGAGGGCAACAGACAGGTTCAGGTCTTTCCTTTCCACAGAGGCGCTGGCGGGGGAAGCTGAGGACTGGATAGGAAGTGAGAAGAGGCTGGGGCTGCAGCAGGGGACAGGCCGCACCTCTGCAGTCATCTACCCTTTTCCCCATGGTCCCAGCCTGTGCGTCCTGTCCTCTGGCCTGACCACTTCCACCCCTGCCTGCCCTCCTTCCTTTGCACTCACCTGCCCCAAATGCCCCAAGGAGTCCAGCACCTAGAAAGGAGGAGGACGAGGAGGGGCTGACCACAGCTGGGAGTCCGGGGACCTGCCCAGCCCCATCTTTCTTTTTGGAGTCAGAGAGTTCTTGATTCAGACCCTGCTGCTGCTACCCAGTCTCCACGAGCATGAGCAGGTCAATTTCCCTCTCTGATGAGGCTCAGTTTCCCCCGTCTACCAAATGGCTATTATATCGCCTGCCTTCCTGGGACCAGTGTGCATGTATGCAGAAAGCACCTAGTGTGTGCAACCTACCCTGGGCGCACAGTGGGTGCTCCCAGCTCTTTCTCATCCTTGCCTGTGCCCCTCTCGGCGGGCAGCTGGCCTCTGGCTAGGGCTCAGGGTGTGGGGCGTGCAGGCTCCCAGCTGCCTGGTCCCCCGCTGAGAACTGAGGCAGGGCGGGGCCAGCTTGGGCCCGAAGTGGCGCCCACGTGGAAAAGCAGCTGCCAGGCCACCCACCCTCTACCACCAAGGGATTAAATGTTCCCAAGCACGACACGCGCTGCCTGTGCCCCATTCCACCCTGCCTGGGCAGGCCCGGACATCCCTGAAGCCCGGATGTGGGGGCCTCCCTGGGGGTGCCATGGGGACTCTGCCAACCCCTTTGTCATCCTGAGTCTTCGGGGAGGTCATGGAATCCAGCCCCTTGCCTGGAAGGAAACAGTGCCCTTTTTATCAGAAGGCGACGCTCTGACTTTCCTTTGGATCGACCCCTTCACCCTGGGCTGGAAGTTCTTTCAGATGTCTAACCTAAATCTTTCCTTAAAAAAAGCTTCACTTTTGTAGCTGTACATCCTGGAGCTCTGGAGGGCACGGTGTCTTTCTCTGGTATTTAGTCACGACCTGCTATGTGTCTCTTGCTGCTAGTGGGATCAGTGAGTGCACTCTCCGGCTTTGCAGACACAACCTCCACAATTTGGGTCTTCTAGGCCAAGCACAGTTCCACCTCCACACTTCTGTGCCAGTCGTATCTTCCCTGTCCGCTCTCCACCATCAAAGACCCTGCCAAGACCCCTCACCCACTCCAGGAAGATAGGGTGTAGGTGCTGGCAGGGATGAGTGGCAACCCCCCAGGTCTCCTGGCCTTGTGGAGCCCCGTATACCCCAGGCACCCCATTCTCCTCCCGCCTCTCCTGGCCCCAGCCCCGGCGTTTCACAACCCAGATGGACTTTCAGCGCAGGGGAATCTGGGGCTTGAAGATTCATTTGCACTTGGATTATCAACGGTCGGGATTTCATAAGAGCTCTTGGACATCTAAACTGTGTCCCAGAGCCTTGGGCTTCTGAGCCAGGGCAACACAGCTCAGGGTGTGGGGCAGCCAAAGTCACATGTGGAGCATGTCACGCCGAGGGGCTATCAATCTGGACGGAGACGCTGTTTCCTCCACCTGCTCCTTATCCACCAGTATTTCCCAGAGGGAAATATTGCCACACCCTCCTTCCTGGGGGTGCATTCCCCAGAGCTGACAGTGGATCCTGGGGGCAGATCCCAGTCCCTTGGGGGAGGCCGGGATAGATCCGGCCACACCTTCTTACTGGAAATCTCCATGGTCTGGATACAGCTGGAAGGGGCCTGAGATCAGGAGGGGAGCTCATCTGGGGCCAGGGTGGTACCCAGCTTAGGCTGGAGGACAGGGCTTGGCCTGAGGCCAGGGTTGGGTGTCCTGTGAGACCGGGATCAACAGGATCAGGGTTCGACCTGGGGTTAGGCTCGGCTTGGGCTGGGGTCAGGCGTCAGCTTGAGACCAGGGCTCTGTCTGGAGTCAGGAGAAGAGCTCAGAATGGCATCAAGGTCATGGCTATCTGGGGTGTTGGTCTGGAGTCAAGGGCTAGGGGACCACTCAGGGGAAGTCTGGGTCTGAGGATCTGCGTCTGAGCCCCAAAGTGTCTCGTACAGGCTTGGAAGCCACTGGATCCAGAGCAATCCCCACGTTGCCTCTAGTACCGAGGCTGTCTCCGAGACAGCCTCTCCTTTGCAGAGAGGAGCCTCTGCACAGCTGGGTGCACACACAGGGGTGTGTGGGGTACATGCAGGTGGAGCTGCCTCCAGCCTCCTGTTCCTGGAAGCCCTGGGACTTGGCCCCGGCCTGCTCATCCCTGGGACGCTAATCGGGGTCCACACCTCCCTCCTTCCCCATGCCCGTTGGCTTCCTTGTCCCGTTACCCCTCCCTCTCCAGCCCCCTTGCTTTCTGTCAACGCTCCGAGGCCTTGGGTCTTACCTGGCTTGGGAGGTTTGACTCCAGGTCCCAGTGCTGTAGAGGGAAGAGAAGATAGTGAATGGGGAGGCCCAGCCCATCTATCTACCACTTTTCCAACCCCCATCCCGGGCAAAGTGTGGGCAGTGTGGAATCTCATGCCCTGGGTCCTCCCCCCTCGGACATGGAGGCCCTGGGAAGCTAGCTCTATTTCTAACGCGTAGTTTATACTATCTGAGCCCCAGAGTCTCAGCCTCAAAAGGGGATGATGGGCTGGGGCGGTGGCTCACGCCTATAATCCCAGCACTTTGGGAGGCCAAGGCAGGTGAGTCATCTGAGCTCAGGAGTTGGAGATCAGCCTGGCCAACATGGCAACACCTGTCTCTACTAAAAATACAAAATTGGCCGGGCTTGGTGGCAGGTGCCTGTAATCCCAGTTACTCAGGAGGCTGAGGCAGGAGAATCACCTGAACCCGGGAGGTGGAGGTTGCAGTGAGCCGAGATCTGCCATTGCATTCTAGCCTGGGCAGCAAAAGTGACACTCGGTCTCAAAAA